GGTGTAAATAATTACCTACAGAAAAACGGTTTAGCTCCCCAGGACATTCATGCTGACATATTTACTACGTTAGGGGATGACTCACCGGCTTTATCACAGTGAAAAGGTGGACAGCAGAAATCAAGAATAGAAGAGAGAGTCTTGAAGATGACCCAAGTTCTGAACATCCTGCAACTGCTACCACCAAGGAAAAAATGGATCGTGTTTACCATGTGGTGATGAATGACAGGCGATTGATTCTAAAACAAAAAGCCAATGCTATTAACATATCCCGTGAGGGAATTTAGAATATCCTGCAATGAACGTGGCATGACGAAGTTTTCTGGTCGGTGAGTGAGCCATCATCAGACAGCTGGTGAAAAGCGCACTAGGATGATTAAGTTAAGGGAAACTCTGACATTAATTGATGCAGACCCAGATGGTTTCATTTAATGTTTCCTAATCTATGATGGGTGTTGGGTTCAACTTCAGCCAGAGACAACCCATGTATTTGAAACACTGTCCTCGCCTCTTTATGTTTGTTTTTGATTTTGTCGAGTGTATAGTATAGTAGGGTCAGTTGGGCACCGTCTGTGAAAAAAAGAGGATCATAACGTAATTCACTCCGCCAGAAATTTCGAAACGGCAATCTGTACGGCGTGGGATTCTTGCCGGAAACTCCAATACGAACATTTCACATTTGGGTGTCAATGCAGCAGTGCAGAAGATTAGGGAAAAGTATATACAATATAATATATACAGTCAACATCATGGTGTTTGGAGTGATCACTAGTGATGCCGACGTTATGCCTCCATTAATCTTCCACAGGGCCTCGGATTCAACACGGAGGCCTACATGAGGATGTAGTCCTGCCCTGCTGGAAGACCCTATGTCTGGCAACTGGACTCTGCATCATGTCACACAAACAGTCATAACAGACAATTTCTGTGAGCACATCACCCCTTATATCTGGCCACCTATTTCGCAGACTGCAACACCATTGATTATTATATGTGGGATGCAGTTGAGCGAGAGACCAAGGAAACTCGTTGTAACACCAAAGATGAACTGAAGACAAGCATTATGGCAGCATTCAATAAGTTAAACAAGAAGATCTCCCAGAAGAGTTGCAGGAGAGTCCGAAGTTTTCTGTGGGCCGTTGTTGAAGCCAATGGCGATTTTATTGAAGAAATCTACTCTATAGTATTTCAAGATAATTTTGGTAAATATATCTGTGAAAATTAGATATCGGTGTTATTTTCGGTTTTGCGTAATTTAGACGACAATTTATCCATCGCACGCTGTATATTATTCTGTTTCTTTCATATGGCACATCCTTTCAGAATATGCCACGTCATTTCACAGACATCCACAACTTCCTATTTTTTTTCGCTCTAACTAAAGAGTTCATCATATGCAATACCTATTTGTAATAGTGATGCTGGCCAAACACTATAGCAGAGGTTTTAATAGATGGACCCCGTGGGCCTCCATGTAATATAAAAGGGGTTCCACACAAAAAATATCAAATTGGGTGTCCACAGTAATATTTTAGTGGCCCATAGAGAAATTTCAGTTCGAACGGTTGTTACAACTGAGAAACGGAATTTCTACAGTATTCTCCACCATATTAAATACTAAAAATAAAACAATGTCTCTCAACAAGCAGAAAGTGTGGTAAAGCCATGTAAGTTTTAGTATCCCTTTTACTCTACCGAATGTTTTGATTGTAAAAGTTGAATAAATACTGAGAAACATATATAAAGAAAGGATTATGTAGATAATGAAAAATAATGTATAGATTCGTAAAATTATCTATTAGAAAAAACGAAATAAGCTTCTTTTTTTTTCTTTTTTTTTTTCATCGAACCAATATGGATGTCCACCAAAAAAATTAAGAGTAAAAGTTATCCATAGCTAAAAAAAAAGAAGAAAAAGTTTAGAATCGCTGCACTAGATGAACGAAAAGAAATTTCGTATTTAAAAAAAAAAAAAAAAAGAAGTCCCTAAAATTCTTAGTCGGTCAATAAACCGTGTTCAGAAGATGTTCTGTCACAAGTTTCCTCATTGAACTTTAATCGTTAGCATTCTATAGAAATAATGCCATTTTACTAAGGTGGCTTCTGTGGTCCTTGTTCAACTTGTCTTTTACACCAAATCATCAAGTCGATTATTCGCTATTTCCTACTTTCGCTATTGCCTACAGTTACATTCCCTGAGGGTTATTTCTTCATTATGTGCCCCAGAAATAACAACTGTGCTTTTCTGAATATGATACTGTATAGTTGTAATATTACTACACGTACACACACAGCTAAGAAAGAACAGCCCGAGTCGTTAAACGAGTTTCACACAGTCGCGATTTTCAGACGACTACAACCCGCGAAACTCGAGTAACGACTCGGCCTGTCCTTTCATAGGAGCACTATCGCGGTCAACTGGCCATTGAACACTTTACTGAGTAGTTAATTGTTTACCTTTTGCTTTTTCATTGTTCTGATTTTTTTTCTGGTTTAAGATGTGAAGTCCTCTGACAAGTTATCTATTAGTCACACCAACATAGTTGGTTTTCCTTTATATATATATATATATTATTACCAGTCAATATCAAGAGATCTCTTCACGACTGCCCTGGAGTTTGCTACAGTATATTGTGACTTAACTAAGGAATAATTCTTAGTGCAAAAAAAATCTGTCCTCAGATTAACTGTCAAAAATTAACTGTCAGACCCCTTATCAAAATGGTCGACAGAGCCGTTTCCTCAGTAATTAATTTTACGAATGAACATGCTTATAAAGATGCGTAAATTTCAAGATTGGTTATTCCTAAATTTTCGCTTGAGGATGAAACACGGTTTGGTACTTTAACTCAATTTAATTTTAATAATTATATTGAGATTTTCGGCTCTCGATTTTGAAACATGAGAACTCTTATGGAGCGAATGAATCACATATTTTTTTAAATCATTATAATTTAAGCTCTACTTCTGTATAGAGCATTTTTTTTTAAAAATAAAAACAAAAATACTGAAGAACTCCGGATTATTTACCTAACGTGTTCTTTTTCCTATTTTTTACATACCTCCATATATATATATATATATATATATATATATATATATATATATATATATATATATATATATATAAATATAGATAACTATACTCGTTTCGAAAAACCCTCGAAATTTTGATTTGCCAATAATCAAATCAATCTCGAGAGAAAAAAAGGTTTTTAAAAAAGAAAGAGCTAAAAACATGAAAGTCTGTCGAAAAAAATCGCACAGATACAGGTTTGGAGCCCAAAGAAAAAAACCGATACAACTAACAAAAGACAACCGTAGAGCAGACCTAGATAAACCTAGTGAGCCAGACAAACCTACCAAGGTTTTACCTAGCCGGCTTTCCCTGACGATCCGTTTAGGATAAACCTAGGTAGGTTTGACTGGCTCACTAGGTCTATATATATATATATATATATATATATTCTGTTTATTCCTAATTTTTATACATACCGTTATTTAAGTAAATACTCTGTTTATAATAAACAGTATTAATTACATTTACAAGTCTGAATGTCCGAAGAATTTTTTAAAATATTTGTCCTGTCGACAAAATCGAACCTGCATTTACACGGGATATGTCATATAATTTGCCGTGCTATACTATTTAGATACAGAGGAAGCGTCTGTTAAGCAAGGTCGAATTACTGCTTTTAAACTTTCAATTCAACCGTGCTAAAAAGACTTACTCTGTAGCTAAATGGTATAGCACGTCTAGCTATATGACGGTTCCGTGTAGGATATAGGTTCGATTCCTGTCGAAGGACATATATTTCCTACGAAACTTCACGCACATTCAGCCGGTCAATGTTATTAACACTGTTTATTATAAAGAGAGCATTTACTTAAATATTTGTATCTATAAAAATAACGTCTGAACAATATATATCAGGCTGAATGATATAATTTTCCCTCCTCTACAATACCAGCCGATTACTTCCGGTGTAACATTATCTTATTCAGGTTTTAGTGCGTGCCAGGTAATTTAATTCGCTGTATTAACTACCTGAAAGATATTTGCGGTTGTGTTTCTATCCAGTGTTTAAAGTTTTTATTATCTATGTACTTTTTTTATTACAAACTTTTTTAAACCGCTCTTTTTAGTGTTTGTTTACTTGTTTGAGATAGATAGATAGATAGATAGATAGATAAGTATCGTTAAAGTTCAACGAAAGTTCTTCCGTAAAGTTTTTTTTTTAAATTATTTTTCGATATTTCGTTCCAATTTCCGTCTTTCCAGGGTATACTTAAATATAAATTATTCAATGACTGACTACTTTCTGTTTTCATAAATCATTATCAAAATGCTATATTGATGTCGTCGTCTTTCAAATACCGCTTCTTTAAGCCTGATGTCGATTTCTACAGTATCGATTCTTCAACTGCTGCTTCGTTTTCCTTTTACTGAATCTTTTTTTTTTTTTTTTTACATTTTACATACTTTTCTGTTTTTGGAAAGGATTTGTTTTTCTTCTTTTGTTGTTGTGCTTGGCGATTTTCTTGAACAATTGAAATTAAATGACATGTTAATTGGTGTTGATTATGTAACCAATGTGTTTAATTTATATATATATATATATATATATATATAAATTATAAATTATACAATATATATATATATATATATATATATATATATAAATTATAAATTATACAGATATTATATATATATATATATATATATATATATATATATATATATATGTATGTATTCTAGGCGTTAAGTTATATCTCTATTTAATCAGCTTGAGAATTTCAACTGTCATTTTCAACTGTGGTGATTATTTTTGTCATTTTAACGAGTGTTTCACTTAAGGTTTTCCACATAGAGTTCTTGACGTCTTTAAAATTTTGCTGATTGCATTTGTGTACGATTGCATGTGATGCATACTGAGTCGTCCTGGAGTTTGTTGTATTGTTATTACACACAAAGAGTTTGTCAGTAATCAGTAATTAAGACATGGCTCTTTCCTTCCTTCTTTCTCTCTCTTTCTCTTTCTCTCTCTCTCTCTCTCTCTCTCTCTCTCTCTCTCTCTCTCTATCTATCTCTCTATCTCTCTATCTATCTATCTATCTATCTAAACAAATTTAAATCAGCACTAGATCATATCCCCACACGCAAAAACACACAACATACACACATAATGTTCAAATACAGTGATCAAACCATACGCATGTATGTACACACGCTCACATGCGGGTAACTGTGGAACACGAATATATATATATACACATATTGACAAAAGCAGGGGACTACTCACGGGCACGCGCGCAAACCCCACACAACTTAGGAAGTATGTATGTATGTATGTACTTATATATATATATATGTGTGTATATATGTGTGTGTATAGTGATTCCTTGTAACTTGGGAAGTATATGTATATGTATGCACGTATGTATGTATGTATGTGTGTATAGTGATTCCTTGTAACTTGGGAAGTATATGTACATACGTATGTATGTATATATGTATGTATGTGTTTGTGTGTGTGTATATGTGTGTGTATATGTGTGTATGTGTACAAATGTGTATGACAGTGTGCATGCATGGAGAGGGTATATACGTATACATACGCATGCTGACAAAATCACAAGAAAATGGAAACAGATCTAAGAACACACAAGGGTCATTAAAAGATAAGAATGCCGATAACTCCTTCACCATTTTTCGGACCAATCTTAATTGTTTTATAACCCTTCAGGCAGAACTTTTCACTGCCAGTTCATGAAAGCCATTTGGGTCACTAACACACTAAAAAGAGAATGTCTCATATCGAGAATATTTAACATCGAAAAAACATAAGAAAAAATTAATTATTTTTAATAATATTTGGAAATCTCCACGTTTTGCCTGATGAAGGTCGCGAGACCGGAAACACAAGTAAGAAAATTATGGGAAATAAAGCATAATATTTTTTTTAAAAATCCACATTACAACCAAAAACGTCTGCAGTTTCTCTCTTCTTTTTAATATACACCCTTTTCTCTCGTTGGAACTACTATAAATATATATATATAGACAGACTCTATAAGCTCTTCCCTATATATATATATATATATATATATATATATATACAAAAATGTAATGAGAACGAAAGTAATATATAAATTCTAAAATTCAGTTGGAAATGCTGTGCCTAAACCCTCGACCGTTGTTGTCGAAAAGAAATTTTTCAGATTTAAGCATTATATTAACACCTCAACCATCATTCACCAAACTGCTATCACCAACCACTATTATTTTACTCCGTCACCTTTTTGCCTTTATGTATTTTTTATTTTCTATTTTTTTTCAAACAAATGAAAAAAAGGAAGTGACGTTTCACAGGCAGCTTGCTTAGAAACAAAATTGTCCATAACCATTTTGGTTCTCACCTGCCGAAGTATAATTTTAAATGCACTGAAACGAAGTTAGATCTTTGTAGTGAGTAAATTGCTTTTGTCTATATGAAAAAATTATAATAAAAAAATATGTGTGTGTGTGTGTGTGTGTGTGTGTGTGTGTGTGTGTGTGTGTGTGTGTGTGTGTTTGACCTGCTTGGCCACATATGCTGATATATTGGCCATATATTTCAGCTGGGATACCGAGCGGTCTAAGGCACGCCTGCTCAGATTTGTGGTTTCCGCTATAAATGAATTCGAACACAGTCGGGGAGCACATTATTTTTTCTTGAGTGCGCTAGTTGGTAGATGTAATACAAACTGTTAAAGAAAAGTGGGGCGTCTATTTTAAATATGGTTATCTACTAAGAATAATATTTGAAGTAATAAAAATGTCGGACTAAACGTATCCATAAATTCCACAAATATATATATATATATATATATAGTAAATCTCGAGGTTAGTCGCAGTTAACTAAAACAGAAGAGAAGTTTAGACAGTTGCACAGCCACCAGGAAAATCCCTTTTATGCAACAGAAACAGCAACTTTCTCCCTCTTCAACATTGTGCAGGGTAATTTTCTAATACCCGATGTGTAAAATAAAATCTGTCGGATTAACAAATAAAAAAATCCATTACTTCTTTAGAAATTGCTTTGTTTACATTCAGATATGAAAATGAGCAGTTATGATCTTTCCAGATTCTTGAAGGAATTTGTACACACACACGCACACACAGACACGCACACACACACACACACACATATATATATATATATAGGGTGCGATGGGTAAATTGTCGCCAAATAATGTGTTTAATTTTACACATGTGCGTTGTTTGTTTTTGGTTTTGTCGAGAGCACAGTATAGCAGGGTCAGTTGGGCACCGTCTTTGAGAAAAAAAACACCATGACGCAATTTACTCCGCCAGAAATTTGGAAATGGCATGTTGCAATGCATAACGTTCGCGCCGGGAGCACCAATACAAACGTTTCGGAGTGTTTGGGTGACAATCTAAGGACAGTTCACAGGATTCGGAAAGAAGTGGATGAGTCTAATCTACACGGCTTTCAACCGTAAGGTATCTTCAGGTGGCATCGGCAATGCTCCATGAATAAACATAACATCATAACAGGAAGGTCCACAGAAGGGGAGGGTGTGGCAATAGTAATAAGTATCGGAAGGTAAAAATAAAAATAAAATAAAACAAAATAAAAAAATATATATATTAAAAAAAAATGCATTATTTTTAGGTTTACTCTCGTCCAGGTTTATATAGGCACAAATTATATTTATACCCTGCCCAACAGCTGAGCACTTTTATCTAAGGTATATTTTACAACGTTCTAATCATCGACAAACCTGAACACTTTTTGACGTACGTGCGTTCTATGTAGTCGGTGAGGATCTTTTGTACGTTCTACTATTGCAAAAATGAGTGTCGTAAACAACGATGCAGGAATTCAAAGTCCCTTATTCACTCAATTGTTATGGCCCGGTTCCTTGTAACACGGTGATAGTCCAAGGTAGAACCAATAAAGAACACGGATATGGAATAACACAGATATATTACAAACAGGAATATATACAGAGAAGTGGAAAGTGTTAGTAGTAATTGTCTGAAAGCGACTCTGTTTCGGACTGCCTCTGACTCGACTGACTGACTCACTCTCTCTGACTGACTGACAGACTCCTGACGGACCTCATTACAGACTTCAGACTGAACAATATTTAGTAACCCCCCACGAGGGCATCAAGTGGCACAACGCCGGTTTAACGTGAGATCTCAGAGCCCGTGGGCTCGGCCAAAAATATGCCCTTTGAACCCGTATGAACCTCGTTCGGGTTCCTCCCCGCCCGTAGGAAGAGAGTTCAACCGATCAGCCGGTAGCCCGACTTCGGACTGAACTCTCTGCTTCCTCTTGAGGCGCAGTATTTATTACGTATGGAATAGTCCATTATGTTATTATGGGTCAGGTCCCATAACATCAATAATATTCCAATAACCATCAGGGACGAGTACTTTATTGAACAAAATCGAAGGTTTCCTTCCTAGGATGAGGTGGAAAGCATTGTTTGCACTGCAGTGATGTATTAATAGCAAGAACAACACAGGAACATTACAGTTTAAAATTAGGTGATACCCACTTGTCATTGCATAGCTTACTGGTTTTGAAAAAGGACTTGCTTGTCATGATGGATAAAATAAAGTTAAGAAGAAATAGAAACATATTTCAAAGAAATTTTTCTGCGGAGGCAAAAAAAGTAAGAAAGACACCAAAAATCCTAGTCAAAAGTCGATAAAACCGAACACCCCCAAGGCTTACAAAAAGATAACAGATGAAGTCACCGGATATTACAAGAAGGCGCCAGCATTATACACTGAAAATATCAACAAAGCTGTGCATAAGTGCCAAGGTCAATATATTGTGCGGAAAGCAAGCTTTTCTAACGGGTAAGGACCATAAAGTTGATTTCCTTACCAGCTCTTCGTTCCGCCTTATAAACCCAGCTAAACTTGAATGGGGTATTGTAAGCCAGAGAATTTTTACAAAATGTATGCGACTTATTAAGAGTAGCAACACAAACTGTTATATAGAAATAAAGAGTCGCCGCGAACAGTTGAGTTTGAACATAGATCGCCACTGAGCAAACACAGACGATCCCATTATAGAATTAAGTAGATCACGTAACCATAGCGGAAACGCATGAATAGAAAGTAGCGTGACGTCTTTATTACTCCTATATTTCTATACGGATCATCATTTCTGTTCTATCCTCTATTACTATACGGATCGCTATTCTCTTCTCTACACTATTCTCTATCCTGATCACTGCTCGGTGGTTACTTTTCGAGCGAATATTATCGAGCAAATACTATTAGTGCGAGTGTTATTCGAAGGAGTTTGACACCGGTATTGTTCAACGGCGTTACTATAGTTGTATCTGCGATTACAAAGTCTCTACTACAACGAGCATTACGAAAGTGACAATGAGTATTCGTTGACATTACAAAAGTGGCAACGAGTGTTCCTTGACATCACAAAACTAACCAATGAATGGGGACCAATGAATGCATCACTTGGTTTCATAGCATTTAAAACAAAGATAAGTGTTAAATATGAAATCAAAGACTTCTAAACTTCCATATCGAAGAATGGCCTGCTTGAAGCATTGGGATACGCCAAGGGCTTTATTAATATCATACCCGAGCAGATTGCTATAATCTTACATTATCGTAAATCGGTTTTATTTCATTATGGCAATGGTGCATTCGATGTCTCTCAAGGGTGGCTTGATGGAGCTTCATTTGGGAGCTGATTGGCCGATTTATATTGAACATAATAAACAAATTCCTCGTTGACAGTCACAGCCTTTATAGAGATGACGGGTTAATAATTTTACATGGCAACCGAAGAGCAAAAGATAAAATTAGGAAAATGCTCTTTAAACTCTTCCAGGATATCACGGTCAACATGAATAGAAAAGTCATAAAATATTTGGACGTAGAATACAACTTTTCAGCCGGCACAGTCTCCCCGTACACGAAACTGGTCACAGTGTTGAAGTATGTAAACTCCAAATCTGAACCACCCAGCAAATGTAATCAGGAATATTCCGAATGGAATTGAGTGCAGACTGTCAAGAAATTCCTCGTCTGATAAAATTTTGAAGAAAAGAAAACAGAATATAAAACA